ACACATATATATATATATATATATATATATATATATATATATATATATATCTCATAATAAAATTAGACTTTAGGACATTGGAAATAAGATTGCTGTCTACTAAAAAAATCAGTGCAGGTATATACATTATGCACATGTGACTGAAATGTATCATCTTTTTCAAATGGGTCCACAAGTCTCTATAATTCCACTAAAGTAGAATTATCTATAAAAATAATTAAATTGACTTGGATTTGTAGTGATTTTTATCAATGATCTTTCAAGATGTTTGTCAAGGACACAAAGTCCCCACCTATAACAAGATTAGTTTATGGATTAAAGTGAAAATTTAAAAAAAAAATTGTCATGGTTTGAACAAAACAAATTTATTAAAATTATCGGGAAACCATAAATCTCAACAGATAAAATTATGTTGCGTCCTTCCCTGTTTGTTTCCAGAGTGTTTAGTTTAAATGGAACCCATTTCCTGAATAAGATGGCAACCCCCCTAGATTTCGCTGAAAAAAAATAATTGGTAGATCTGTCCTATCCAACTATCCTTCAGTTATTATTAGAATCTACTTTGTTTCATGCAGAAATATTATATCTGAGGAAAGACATTTTAAATGTGCTATTGTCTTGCTTCTCAGTCAACCTATGATTGGTTTAAATATACAGGATTTAAACGTTTAAACACCTGAAATGTTATTTGCATTAGCAGTTAATTGCTTACATTTACAAAATGATCAATTCAAAAAAAGGGTAGCCTGAAGCTTTAGGCAAAAAAAAATTAATAATTAAGTTGGGCTTAAGTAATGTCACAAATAAAACTGCAATCAAATGGTTTAAAAGTAATTAATTTATTATAATTTATATATTAATTTAAAGAGGTTCACACATTGACTTCAATAGACACATAGGCTAATAAAAATTGGAAAAAAAAGATAAAAGGCTGATACAAAATCTGTTAATCATGTTTCCATATTTTGTATTTTCCATTTATTCACTGTTGTGAATTGCATCTTTGATCTCTGCTCTGTCGACTTTAAATGTTGAAAATTAAACTCAACAATTAACTTTTTTGACATTTTAGTAGTTTGAGGCAATATATTATGAAATAATTAATAGAGAATGTACTAAATCATTACCAGGATTTAGCTATGTAATTTACAACACCAACCCAGACAATATATTCCTTCAAACTGTTAAAAATGTTGAAGGTTAAAAGTTGTTGTAATAAATATCCGATAATGCAATTCAAAAGCCTGAATGAGTGAAAAAAAAACACAAATCACAAAATATGGAAAACTGTCAATTTATAGATATTTTTTACAGTGTACAGGTAATGTTTATCATTTGCAAGAGAATGTAACCATGGCCTGCTGTGTTAAAAAGTCTGTTTCTTGACATGTGCATATTTAACAGATCCATCTGTATTAGAATACTTTTGTTAATTCTTTAGACAAAAGACTACCAGGACATAATGTACCCTGCATGGACATTTTGGGAGGGAGGTCCTGCTGTATGGCCCATTTACCCCACTGGTCTGGGCCGATGGGACCTCATGAGGGATGACCTCAAAAGGTGGGTATGAGATTAGAATATTTAGTCCTGTCTACCATTCTCATTCCAATATTTTGTACAAATCCAGAGTTAATAATATTCAATAAATGGTTGCAATAGTTTTCAGGCCATTAAGATATAATCTAATTTTTTTTTTTTTTTTTACACTTATTCAGATCGGTTGAACAATGGCCCTGGAAAAAGAAAAGCCCAAAAGGATTTTTTAGAGGCTCTAGGTCAGTGGTGCCTTCTGCATAGTTCATTGATTTGTCATTGTTTTTTCCAGTGTAAGATAACAGGTTTTTCCAATATTTGTAGGACCAGTTCAGAGAGGGACCCTCTGATCCTTCTCTCAAGAGCAGCGCCTGACCTTGTAGATGCTGAATACACCAAAAACCAGGCCTGGAAGTCTGATAAGGTTTTTTAAAAACCCTTTCTATTATACAGGATATTACTGCATTTAGAAAATAGATAAAGTTATGTAATAGTAGCATGGTTATTTGTTCCAAATTGTGACATATTTACAGCTATTATAAATTATACATTTAGAAGGATAGGCAATTGCACTAATCTAGTATAATCTGTAAACTTTTTTTCTGTATCTTTAATCACATCAACTGTCAACCCAACACCCCCACCCAAAGGACACTCTTGGTAAACCTCCAGCCAAGGAAGTTACTCTGGTAGACCACTGTGAATACAAGTAAAGACCCATCTAATTTCTTTTTTTAGCAGAAGCTGTAACATTAAGTGGATGTCTGTAAACAAACCAGTATTCTTTTAATATATTGTTTACTCTCTCAGATACCTCTTTAACTTCAGAGGTGTTGCTGCTAGCTTCCGTTTAAAGCATCTTTTCCTGTGTGGTTCATTGGTTTTTCATGTTGGGGAAGAGTGGATTGAGTTTTTCTACATTCAGCTCAAGCCCTGGGTTCACTACATCCCTGTCAAGCAAGATTTGTCTGACTTGAGGTACCTTTCAGGCTCAACCCATTGTCATTTTATGTTCATTGTGTTTTCAGTTAGATTATCAAAAGAGGTCAAGATTGCTGTCGGCAGTAAAAAAAAAAGAAAAGAAATGTATGAATTACATTTACCAAAAATACCAAAAAACAATTACATTAATTGGGTTGAAAAGTACTGTAAAGACAATAAGTGAATTGCCCATTTATAGTTGTTTTCTCTCTATTGTTAGTGAACTGCTTCAGTTTGTGAAAGAAAATGATGCAGTGGCAGAAGAAATTGCTATAAGGTAACAAGTGTTTTAATTATTATTTTTTTCTTTTAGTGCATAAATAAGTGAGGCATACAAGTTATGCTTTTACATATCAGGAAAGCATAAATGAGTATACCATAGTTTCTCAGTGAATATATACAAACAACCTGCTGCATTTTTACAAAACACTTTATTAAACATTTTTTTTTAATTAAAGCAATTAAAAAGTGTGGTCACTAAAAAATAATACAATTTATCTAAATGAGGTGTTGCAAAAATGATTACACCAATACGCCCTACAACAAATAGAACAAATCCAATATTTTTTTTTTTTTGATTTTCTTGAATTTTTTTTCACTCTCTGCTAGATGTTGGTTCATTATTGTATTGAAAGAGCACTACGTAGCCTGTGGCATGAAGTGATGGTAGCACATTCTCTTTTAGTATTTCAGAGTACATCTCTCATATTGTGAGTTTTTGCCATTTCAGGTTTTAGGTTTTTTTAAGATTTTTATAGGAGAAAGAAATGCATGAATGAATGAGAATGATTTTTTAAAATCACACAAGTGGAAATTTACTTACTACAAGAATTCCGTATTTTCTGAGTTCAATGAGCGACCCCTGTAATTTGCATAAATCTGAATGTTTTTTTTTAAGAGAGAGAGAGAGGGGAAGGGTCTCAGTGAGGTTCATTATCATCAAAGCAAATGACCTGAGGGGTTCCACCTTCAGTGTTCATCACTGTGCACAAGAAGGAGCAGCAATTGCCTCATTCTGGACGTCTTTCAGGGTTGTAATTGTAGACATACAGTACTAGGCTACTGTGTATATAATATAATAATATTGTGTAGTCCTTTATTATGCACGTATGAGGAAACCGCAAAAAATATGCAAGATTATAAAATTGCTTTAAATTCATGCGTGGCTGTGCACACTTTTTATATATATATTCACTCACTCATTTTCTTTTCGGCTTAGTCCCTTTATTAATCTGGGGTCGCCACAGCGGAATGAATCTCCAACTTATCCAGCACATGTTTTTTTATGCAGCGGTTGCCCTTCCAGCCGCAACCCATCTTTGGAAACATCCATACACACTCATACACTACGGACAGTTTAGCCTATCCAATTCACCTGTACTGCATGTCTTTAAACTGTGGGGGAAAAAGGAGCACCCAGAGGAAACCCACTCAAATGCAGGAAGAACATGCAAACTCCACACAGAAACGCCGACTGACCCAGCTGGGGCTTGAACCAGTTACCTTCTTGCTGTCAGGAGACAACACGACCTTGTGCACCACTGTGTCGCCCATCTATGTGTGTATATATATATATATATATATATATATATATATATATATATATATATATATATATTCATTTATTTTCTTTTAGGCTTAGTCCCTATATTAATCAGGGCTTGCCACAGCGGAGTGAACCGACAACTTATTCAGTAAATGTTTTACACAGTGGATGACCTTCCAGCCACAGCTTAACACTGGCAAACACCCATATACTACAGCTGTACACTACACTTTACCTTATTCAATTCACCTATACCACATGTCTTTGGACTGTGGGCAGACCGGAGCATTCGGAAAACATGCAAACTCCACACAAATGCCAACTGACCCAGCTGGGGCTCAAACCAGTGACCTTCTTGTTGTGAGGCGATCTTGCTACCCAATGATGTGGCACATTTTTTATATATTTTTTTTTAATATTTCTAAAATGTTTATATATATATATATATATATATATATATATATATATATATATATATATGTATATATATATATATGTATATATATATATATAAATATTTTCAATCTGTATTTGAATTTTGTTTATTTGAATTATTGACAACTGTTTTTAATAAATCTGAATTTTTATAAGCTAACATTTATATGCTAAAAATTAACCCAATTTTTTAACGGCGTATAAATATCCAGATTTATTAAATTACAATTGTCAATAATTCAAATTAACACATTTCATATTCAGATTGTTTTGGCATATCATTATCTCCATAACTTAGGCCCCGTTTACACTAGTGCGTTTTAGTTTTAAAACGGCGTTGTAGAATGAAAACGATCCGCGTCCACACTCGCGTTTTACCCAGCGTTTCTGAACAGCTCTCCGTCCACACCAAAACGCTGAAAACGCACATCACGTGACCACACACACACTCTCGGGCAAGCGCTCCAGCATTCTACCCAGATGAGAGCTCTGCTTGTCGGACTGCTCATCACGCATCTCCCGCTGGATCTAATATCACTATATTTGCTAAACGTGATATTTCATTCATGTTGTTGTCTTTATCTAACGACATATTCCCTGACTTTGGTCATTGGAATCTATTAAGTTACTTGTTCACGGGTAACATGTTTTGGTTAAGTGCAAAGATAAGTTAATGATTAATCCAGGTACATTGACTGATCGCTTGCCTTTATTTCCTACAATGTAAAAACTTATTGTATGTTATACTTTTATAATTGTCGATTATTAAAACTGATATTCAGCAGAAGAGAGGGTGCGTTTCGTATTTTCACTGAATTGAAAGGAGGCAGTTGTTATCGGCTCCGTTTTGTTATAAATATCCACACAGTGAAGATGACGCTCATATATGCAGCACGGCGCCTCAACATTTCTGCTGTCTGTTAAGTTGCTAATATTAAAATGAAAATAGGCAGTTCCTTAAATCATGTTTACATTTTATTGTTGAGAAAGTGAAACAACGTAGCCAAGGTGATGTGAATGAAGTTATAAAGTACACTGTTCCCTTTGAAGATTTACGCGTGTCCTCGGTATGTTTTCCATATCAAACTGAGAAGGGGGAGACTGCAGCCTTGATCAACCTTGCGAAGTCTTAACTTACAATAAGAGGATGCGAGACTGAACTGTGTGTGTTAGGCTACTTATTATTCAGGAAAAGCCCCAATCAGGCGAACGTTTGCAGCCCCGCCTCCGTTTTCAGATGTCTCCGTCTTTCCCCATCCACACTGAGACGGAGCAGCAGCGTTTTAGAATGAAAACGGCCTCTCCAGCGTTTTCAAAAAGCTCCGTTTTCGGCGCTCGAGAACTCCGGCGTAGTGTGGACGGATGGCGTAACCGTAGCAAAACTTATGCGTTTTCAAACTAAAACGCACTAGTGTAAACAGGGCCTTAGTGTAATTTTACACTTGGTTCAATTGTCTGGACCATACCCAAGTTTGATTGTCCCCCTTGCCACCTTCTCTATTGGTTTGTGTTTACACTGACTTTTTTCCTTCTAACCCTGTTAAGCTTGTGTCCTCGAGCTGCTGTTGTGTGTGTGGCTGTTGCTAAGTGACAGACATGAAAGCAAAGCGCCAAAATGAAAAGATGTATGTACATTACGGTCGTTCTGCTTTTACTGAATCTTTTGGTTTTGGACATACAGAGAGCGTCTCGCGTCTATCTGCAGCAAAAATATAAAAACTGTTCAGAACTTAAAACGATGTCTGCAGAATCTGTTTTTGGTGGAGACAAGCAGACATCACTGTGTTTGCCCTGGCTCAGTCCTGCTTGTACCAATGTACAGTACAAGATACACAGACACGCACACACAAACAAACAAATGAACAATATGAAAATGATAGTTTGTTGTACAGTTGGCGGTTCACTTACATTATTTGGAACAATTGCATATATACAAGAAGTAAACCGGACCAGAGTTTGCGTGAACTGCACCCCAGACCATCTATTTCAAGCGGACTTGCGTATGGTTCGTGGGTGTGCACACGAGTTCAGAAGACACGTTCACACTAGTTAGATATTGGCTTAGAAATTAGCAACATTTCTTTTTTTTGTTGGTCTTATTAAACAATGTACATTTGAATTTTTAACTGTGTACGCACATTTACAGCTTTCTGATGTATGAAACACTGCTTACACGGAATTCCACACATTCTCTTTGTACATCCAACTTAACTTGAATGTTTTAGTATGAATTCAACGCAAGTGTTTTTACATGAGGTCCCTGGTCTTTTAGCTCAACATTGCATAAATCATTAACCTAAATTAGCATTTTAGCATCTCGCTCAAAAAAAAAAGTTTTAATATTTAAAAACGTTACTCTTCTGTAGTTACATTGTTTAATACGACCAACGAAAAAAGAAATGTTGCTATTTTCTAGGTCAATATGGCTAGGAACTATCCTCTCATTCTGGCATAATAATCCGACTTATCGTGAAACTGAGCACGTGCATGAGCGCAAAACCTCTCCCTGCCTTCTCCCCCTAATAAATATGGTAATGACTCTACTTTGGCAAAACCAAATGAAAAGCAATGGCAAAAGCAAGCAAGAAGAGAAACTTCTCAGAATTTTAACTGGAGGTGCTCCAATCGGAGGTAGACCAGAGAAAAACTGAGAAAAACAAAAGAAAAAAATAGAGTAGGAGAGATTAGCTGAGTTTAGCACCGTCAGCTAGTTGAGTGATTCCCGCCCATCACCGTTTGATTGACATAGACAACATAACTAAAGAGAGCGGCATAAGGCAGCATGAGTGTAGCTCGTAAAGCGCATGGCAACATGTTTTGACAAGATTGATCATGAACCCGGTTCGATTCCATGAACTCATTCTTCTTTTTTTTCCCACTACATATTGACTTTGCCTACTCTTCATCACAAGGAATCATTAATAAGTGTGTGTATTATGTTAAGCGCGTTTGAGCATCACATAATATTTGCACATTTATTGAATGGAAATGTCAGATTGTCTGAAATCGTCTTCAGATGGTGCCTTTATAACCATGTACGCAGCGTTGATTAGTGAGGCCCCAGGAGATTGGCTAATATATTCCAAAATGGTAAAATATTTAAACTATATGTGATTTAAAGAGCATCTATGGTGAAAAATCTACTTTTCAAGCTATTTGGACAGACATATATAGTGTATAGACCATAATTTTGGGGTAATGTAAACACACCCAGTCCTTTTTTTTTTCAATTGGTGGACCAATTGAAGCGGTTTTCTGACCGACCACAACTTGACGTAGGAGTGCGGTCCCCCCGCCCACCGAATTGACTGACAGCTGCGCGCATTAACATGTCTCGGTAGTCACGTGTATATGTCAACAAGACCAGACGTGCGTAAAGCAACCGGGAATAAAAGGTCTGTTCAGTTCGCTAGGATCAGCAATCATCATTAAATGTGATCAAGAGTAAGTTTCACATGTTTAAATATTTTAAAACAGTGCACGTGTGCAATTAACTTCAGCGATTTACTTCAGCTTTACTTCATCAGCACAGCCTTGTGTCAGAACAATTATAAAGGATGATGCTTTAACCCCGGTTTGTAGACATTAAATCAGGTTTATTTTGTACATTAACATAACCGATATCCATACAGCAGTGGAGATTAACCTGTATCCTGTCACATTTGCGTGCAAAAACAGTGCAAGCGTGGTCTGTGTGTGTGTGTGTGTGTGTGTGTGTGTGTGTGTGTGTGTGTGTGTGTGTGTGTGTGTGTGTGTGTGTGTGTGTGTGTGTGTGTGTCTGTCTGTCTGTCTGTCTGTCTGTCTGTCTGTCTACTGCGGTGGGCGTGTGTGCGCGTGCAAACTTTTTATCGATATTGCGTGTGACTCATCAATGCAACTGAGTCAATGCAACAATACTCATTGGTAAAGTTCTTACTGTAGTATTTCTCACAAACACTACGTGAGACCTTCTTCCTTTAAGTCTGTCTGTTGTCTGATGCAGCTGAGGGAGGAGATTAAGGCACGCGGGAAGGCACGTAGAAACAGTAGGTGGGGAGGGCTCGCCTTAAAGGCGTAGTACAACAAAACCACCCCCTGGTGGAAGAATTTATAAAACAGGATCTTGTAAAAGATATAATGAAAAATCTGATGGGTGTTTTGAGCTGAAACTTTACATACACATTCTAGAGACGCAAAAGACTTATATTAAATCTGAAAAAAAGGGTAACCTAGGTGCCCTTTAAAAAATGTGCATATTTACTAAAAAGTAAAGTAGCTTTAAAGTACTTTAAAATAAAGTCAAACTCTCAATTAGAGTGAAATGATGAATTATTTCCAAATAGAGTAACTGAAGTTGTCCTGTGAAATTAAATTCATATCGCAACACAAATCACAGAAAAAGTGGAGTGTGTGGTTCGGCCTGCTAAGACATCTACCGCCCACCCTCCCACCAGCCTGCAGAAGATATGTCCCCAGGACGATCCGGAACCTCTCTTGGACCTCTTAGGAAAGATGGCTGAGGTATGTGGCTGGCCACGGCCCAATTGGCTGGTACATATAATCCTGCTGCTATCTGGCGAAGCCCAGATTGCTGCCCAGCAGCTACCAGTCAAGAACCTCCTGGAATACGATGATCTCAAGCGAGCCATTGTCCAGCTGGCTGGCCGCAATCCAGAGGAGCAACCCTACGGGTTCAGCTCGCTCATCGAGAGTTGCTGGCCCTTCATGTTCCCTCAGAAGCTCCTGGATGACTGCCACAGATGGTTAGTGCCGGATGGTCAGAGCGTTGATGAGCTCATCGACACCGTAATGCTCGAACAATTCATCTCCTTGTATCGCCATCTTTTGCTGGCAGAACAAACAGGAGGTTCCATGCAAGTAGCGGTTCCCTGCGAGGAGGTTGAGCACCTGGCAGCTGGATTTGAACTGTCCAACGAAAAAGACACGGGCTGGACCTGGAGTTCTTAGGTGCTGAGGAGACTGCTGTCTTCACCCTGTGTTGGGGAGCAATATTTTGTCTCATTTTTAGGCCGTTCGGCAGATGTTTGAATTAAGTTTAGCAGTTTTAGTCATTTTGAACCTTGTTTTAAACAATAGCTATCTGAATTGTAATTTTTAGTGAAGCTGAAAAACCGCCAACAAAACTAAAGCCAATAGATTTCTTTTTACACATCACCCACCTCGGAAGTAGGTTACACACAATTTAAAACACTCCGTTTGTCATTATATTGTAATGTACACAGTTTAGTAATCAATTAATATTATGTAAAAAAATTTATAATTAAAATACCATTAATTTTACCCTCTCATGGTAGGTATGCACAGTGCGTAAGGCTGCAAATGCCACTGCATGAGGATATAGTTCACTATTCGTTAACGGCCGTAGATATACAATTTCATTGTTAAAAGCATAGTGTAAAGGTGGCATTTAGTCCCTATCTCATACATCCTCTAATCCTAGGAACGAATTGGCCCAGTTTTAACAAGCTATTAAGGATTTTGTGTGTAGATGTGTTTTGGGAAAGGAAAAGACGAGAGCTTGCTCAACTTAGGGAATCCCTTCCCGGTACATCACGCGTTGTCAGAGGGAGGGCTAAGCCTCCACCATAGTGAGGATTTTCCTCTGAAGCAGACACAGAACCTAAAAATTCTTATGGCCAGACATTTAGGTCAAGTGGCCACTTTAAAACCTCTTATGGCTTGATTATTTTGACCAGGCACTTATGGTGACGTCAGCAGGTAGTGTGCTGCTTGCCGTAAATGTCAGATGGTAAATCCACAACTAGTAGAGACCCCCTTCAAAAGAATGGACATGTAATCGGGCCATTAAATTATCAACAAGAGAGCTCCATTTTGCATTAGCTCTCGTGGATTATGCCACGCGGTGCTGAATGTCGCAAGAGAGGAGGACGAGCCTTCTGCTTGTAAAAACAAAATTCAATATATACTTGACCTTTGGACAAAATCGATAAAGTGCTTGTACTGCTTTCCTTATCCAGCTCTAAAGGGTCACACAATGAATTGGGGATCTTGATTACGACATGGTCAGACATGAGTGGGTAATGTCAGATTTATCATATGAACCTGCTGAAACAATTGAGAGAGCCAGGGGTGGTGATGCTGGCAACAGTAGTTACAAATGATCATATCTTAAAAAAAAGATTATTTGGGACCAAAGGGCAGTGGTCGTGTTCACCCCTCTGGTCACTGGGGAGATGAATGGCTCCCTAAAATGGGTGGCTTGGTCTGGTTCTGTGTGAAATACAGCAAATTAAATCTCAAAATTTGATGCATATCCAATGCAACAGATTGACTAGTTGCTTGACTGGTTAGGTGCCGCTCGCTTTTTATTCGACATTGAATTTTACAAAAAGATGTTGGCAGATCCAAAGAAAATACAACCTTTACTGCACTGTAATTACACCCATTCGTTACACTTCTGTTCATGTTGTTTGGGCCACCAGCCACGTTTTACCATTTAAAGGTGCAGTAGGTGATCTTCCACAATGCTAATAGCTTAGCATAAATCTCAGAATCACAGTCCCTCCCCTGCCGTCTAGAGCCTCGCCTCCTTAAACACGAGCACAGCAAAAGAATCCTCTCTCATGTGTTAAAAGCGACTAGTGCTTGTCCAGCTGCGTGCAAGCCAAACTGACATGCTATTTCAGAGCAAATATTTAGAGTTGCATGGTAAACAATATAGGGAGAGACTAGGCGGAATATCGGTATTTACTTGTGTTTTGTTGTTAAACGAATTAAAATCTACATTATCGATGCTGTAAAAGGTCCCTTATGAAACTGAAAATAGACTTATCAATCTTTCATCAGAAGATTTTAGTAGCTTAACAACACTTCTGTGAAGATATAACCCATTTGTAAAAACAACGTCTAACGTTACATCAGCTTTGTGTAAAGCTAAAAAAGTTTTAAAACAGAACATTACCTGTCTACGAGAAAACTTTCACACAAATAACAATAATAAAAATCTAAAATTTGAGCCCTGCACCTTGGGTTGAATTGACACAGAAGGACCCATCTGTAAATTCATGATGCCATTTTTAAAACAAATCTCCCTGACACTTGTGTAACTCATGCAGCCCCACAACCAAGAACACTGGCATTATCTTTTAATATGTTTTACTGTTGCTAGCATGTATTTTAATTGTTTCCCTTACCCTATGGGATACTTTAGGATTTTCAACCCATCAGAACCAAAACTATTAATTTCTTTCACTTCCCTGAATAATGTCTTGCCTTCAACATGAGCCTTTACAAATTCTGTGTGTCCTTTTTTTTTTTTTTTTTTTCTGTTGCCATGTGTGTACTGATTGGTCATTTTCATTGGCTAGTAATTTCAAATTTGATATAATTTTCCAACACCATTCATAGGTGTGTATTCATTTTTGCACTACGATCTTAAATGAGTTTGTTACAACAAAAACCAAGGCAAAATTGGAACCCATTTAACAATAATGCAGGTATGTTGTGTTCCTATCTTGCTAACACAACACTATTGAGAAATCACACTAAAATATGTCTTTATTGACTTTCTGGTTTTTGTGTGAGGTGCACTTTGTTACATTAATCACTTTTCATGTGTGCAACGCCAGCACTCAAAGGCTACCTAATATTTTTTGTTGTCACTCTCTGTTTTTACAGAGAAAGAAAATATTAACTTTCACGTTTTTCAGGCGCGTGACTGTGTAAGCATTTAAACAGAAATGAAAACATTCAGACACAAAAAAACTTTTATTATTCATCTGTGCCTAGATCTGTATAGATTTTCATTTTATGGCACCCATAAAGTGACAACAGCTTCTTTATTGACAATTAATAATGATTAAGCAGCAAAAGAAAAAAATAAATAACGGTATTAAGAGAACAATATTGGCTTTTAAGTAAATCTAGTGTTTTTTATTGCTGGTGCCACACAGTAAACACAACTGAACTGAACCAATCTGTACTGTGGCTCCAATATTGTGAACTGAACCAAATTATGGCACGAGTGTATCACTGCACCCTTAGTTGTATGTGCATTGTGCTTTGAGATATGGTGTTGTCCATAAAATGGAAGTCAATCGTAAATTGATTTTAAACATTTTTCAAAATCATCTATTTCAAACATTCATGGAGGTTTAGAAAGATATGAGGATTAAGAAATACATGATTATTTTAATTTTTGTCTGAACTTTTTCTTAAAGATATTTTTGTGTGGTGATATTTATACTAATTTTTATGACTTTGTTTTTCTTAAGGGGCCGGAACTTTATTCTTGATCATCTCCGAATGGAGGATTTGTATTGTTACTGGGAGATGCTGCTCACTGATTTCAGCAAGCTGCTGACATACAAACCTAAGAGAAAATCAAACTTCAATCAGATCACCCACAGAGCCAGCAGGTCTGAACTATGACCTATGGAAATCATAAAGTATGAAGTTATTCCTCTCCTCCTGCCTTTACCATTGGTCCATATTTTTTTTAACATTAGTTATTTTTAGTATTTTTTTTCTGATGAAAAGAGAATTTAAAGGCAGCCCTTTGTTGTTAATCTAGTACATCCTGCCATTGCTGTGGAGGGACATTTTTAAGTTAGTTAAGCATGTTCTGTAAGCTACCCTACAGTATATCGGTGTACGCAATTAACAATCTAGACTATTTAAATGTCTAAAGTATTGTAGTTAAAATATGCTTGGTATGTTCTCTTTACCAGGCATCAATCCATTTTTTTCTGAAGGAAAATAAAGTTTTCATACAATACTACAATAAACATTACAGTTTCCTTCTGTCTTTTTAAAAAAAAATTTAACCCAAGTCCCACCCCAACTAACAATAACTTCCCAAGGCAGCTTAACACATAATTAGGGTCAAATATAATAATTAAACAGTCTAGAGTCATGCATGTCTTGACGTAACAGTGATGATGGAAGAAATAAATAAATTTTTAAAAATTACAAGTAATGGGAAGAAATAAAATTGCAGGACAATCTACATTAAAGACAAAAAGAGATAGATAGATTATTTAACAGCAGGGTAATTATTTCAAATTTAAAAAATATGATAAAATGATTCTGGGCTTCCTTTTGGGTCACAGGCAGTTGCATCCCCAAAATTATAAAACTGCAGCGATTGCAGCTTGTTTGAGACTCAAGACCAAAAAATAGGGGGATAGGGCTGGCAAGATATTGTAGGCGATTTGTACCCAATTATTCCGCTCTTGTCAGCTCGCTGACTAATCTCACTAGAAAGGGAAAACCAGATACCATCCAATGGTTAGATTTACCAACCTTGCTCTCTTCCTCACCCATACTCTAAAAACTTTGTTACATTTTTACATTTTTCCAATATCGTGCAGCCCTAAGCTGTATTCTAATTGACCCACGTTTGTTTTTGAGCACTGAAACTTTGTTCAATTTTACTAGATATTTAAGAAGCCATATTGAGATCTCAATACCTCTAGAAACAGACCAGACCTGGGCTTAAAAATGTAGAAAGGAAGTGCAGGAAATGCATGAAAAGAAAAGTTTGTTTAGAACTAGAGTCTAAAGATATAGTGAGAGACTGTTAATACTTACAAATTTGGTGGGAAAAACTCATCTCATATTTAAAATGTCTGCATTTAAATGTTATGCTTCACGAATAACCAAATATAGCACAATTTACTATTAGACTTACAAAGCTGTGTTAAAATAATGATACAGCTATCTTTCTAAAAGTCATTTTTGCTTCGCTGTAATTTGGCTATAAAAAATTGCTATTTTGATACCTCTCTTAAAAATCTGTGGATTACTCCGTAAATATACATCCATGGCTTTCTTATTCATTCATGTATTACTTTCACACATATAACAATAATAAAAATCTAAAATTTGAGCCCTGCATCTTGGGTTGTATTGACACAGAAGGACCTATTTGTAAATTCATGATGCCATTTTTAAAATAAATCTCCCTGACATATGTGTAACTCATGCAGCCCTACAACCGAGAACATTGGCATTATCAACATGATTTTTTTTTCTGTTGCCACCTGTGTACTGATCATTATTTTTTTTCTGATGAAAAGAGAATTTAAAGGCAGCCCTTTGTAGTTAATTTAGTGCATCCTGCCATTGCTGTGGAGGGACATTTTTAAGTTAGTTAAGCATGTTCTGTAAGCTACCCTACAGTGTATTGGTCTACGCAATTAACAATCGAGACTATTTAAATGTACTGAAGTATTGTAGTTAAAATATGCTTTATGTTCTTTTTACCAGGCATCAATCAATTTTTTTATTTTGAAGGAAAATAAAGTTTTCATACAATACATTTGCAATTTATTAATACATTTACAGTACATAATTGTTTTTTTTTTAAGTCCCACCCCAAGACATTAACATCCCAAGGCAGCTCAACACAATAATTAGGGTCAAATACAATAATTAAACAGTCTAGAGAATGGCATGTCTTCACGTAACAGTGATGATGGAAGAAATAAATACATTTTTAAAAATTACAAATAACGGGAAGAAAAAAAAACACACCACAATCTACAATAAAGACAAAAAACACAATGAAATGGATAAAAAGAGATGTATAGATTATTTAACAGCAGGAAAATCTTTTAAAATTTTAAAACTATGATAAAATAGGTTCCCAGTATATATATATATATATATATATATATATATATATATATATATATATAACCTGTCCACCGAACCCCTTAGTGTGTAATCTTTTTTCGTTTTAGAAAAGACATCTATTTTCAAAGACAAATCTTCTCACCAGACTGTCAGAGATAGGGGAGGATTTTCAGCATAACAAGAATTTTCGGTAAAACTTTACAATAAGGTTTATTAAGTTAATGCATTTACTAACATAAACTAATCATGAACAACACATGTACAGCATTTATTAATCACAATTGAAGATTTACTAATGCATTATTAACATCCAAGTCCATGCTTGTTAATATTAGTTAATGCACCGTGAGTTTAAATGAACTAACAATAAACTACTGTATTTTCATTACCTAACGTTAACTAACATGAACAAATACAGTAGTATATGTATTATTCATTGTTTGTTTATGTTAGTAAATGCATTAATTAACATTAACTAATGAACCTTATTGTAAAGTGTGACCGAATTTTCTGTGGTTATAAAGATGTACCGTATATGCAATAATGCACCTCTGAGTAGCTGAAAAAGTTATGGTCGTAGTAGTGTCACTCCAAATATACCTATTGAGGAACAGGGCATTAATGTCTTCCCCAGGGCCTCACTGATAGACTTAAAAATTGATGACCAATGATTATTTAAAGTATGGCAAGACCAAAGCATGTGTCAAATCAGCTGTAGAAAATGAACATCTATCACAAGACGCATCTAATCCAGGGTACATTTCTGCCAATCGTGCCTTTTTTACATGGACCCTGTGTAACGCTTTGAATTGTATGAGCCCTAATCTAACATAATAATGATGCATGGACATTTCTGAGTGCCTCCTCCTATAAATTATCTTATAGTTTTACACCCAGTTCATATTTCCATCTAGATTTAATTTTATCCACATTATACTCCTTCAGAGACATGAGTTTGGAATATAATATGGAGATCAATACTTTATTATTAAGATAAAGAGTAAGGTTATTTACAGGGAAGGCAGTGGAAATAAAGGGGAATTGAGGGATCTTCTCCCTAGCAAATTACAGACCAGAAGTCATCGGCATACAGGTCTTTAAAGCATTCCAGTTCAGATGATGTCCACAGTCTAAATGATGAGTCTAGCATAGAAGGTAGGAACAAATGATTTTTGTAAATAGGACACAAAACCTTTACTGATGTAAATTTATAATTACATCGAAACTGATCAGAACTTAAAGATTTTATGAGTAGAAAGTAGTATAAAAGAATAGTAGTGGATAAAACTTGAAAGACCAAAACCACCTTTTGTACATTATGAGTTCTCTGAAAAATAAAATTTACCCTGGAGATCTTGTTTTTCCAAAAATTGGAGGATATAGATTGACTAATAAGATGAAGTTGGTAGGGATTGGGAGGCAGTGGGGCAGTAGGTAGTGCTGTCGTCTCACAGCAAGAATGTCGCTGGTTTGGGCCTTGGCTCATTTTATTTGTCATTTTAACTGAGAGTATTCTTCCAACTAAAGGGGAAGAGTATGCCAGCTCTTTAAATCAGCTTTCATTTCTTTTAGTAGTACTTTGTTTAATTTATACCCTCAAAATGTACCAAACCGGTCCAGCATTTATATAATTAAAGGGCAGCTGGATACGGGGTCACGAAGAGCAAAAGATTTTGACAGATAATGTTCATTATTAGTTCAGTTTAATTTCTTTGTACAATTGTGCTGTTTTTAAAGCTATTTAGAGGGGTTGCATCACGGGTCCCTTGTGTTAACGGAGAAAAGTCAGATATTGAGAGTTCAAGTTGATAGTTGGTTTATAGATGCTTTAGGAGACTGATATTACAATTTAACCCAAGAAATAAAAACAGTACCAAATACAAACTTTTTTAAGACTGAAAATAAACAAGGCCATTCAATTCGAATGCCTTCTCTGCATCCAGGGAAATAATTCCTTCTGGTTGTGGAGAACGAACCGGAGATTGCATTATGTCAGCTAGTCTATTAATATTAGAAAAAAGATTGGAGGTTTTTAATAAATCCTGTTTGATCATCTGAGATTATTGAAGCAAGGGCATATTCTAGAAGGAATGCTAATATGTAATGCTAGGACAATATGATGCACATTGTGTAGAATCCTTACCTTTTTTGAGAAGAAGTAAAATAGATGCTTGTGAAAAACTTGGAAGTAGGGAGCCAGCTTTTAAAGATTCTTTAAATATTTCAAAAAGAATTGGTACAAGTGTTTTTATTTTTATAAAAGTCAATTGGATAGCTGTCAAGGTCGCTGGACTTACCACTCTTCATTGCCATGATGGCTCTATTAATTTCTTTAACATTAAGGCCAAGTTCTAGATCTTCTATCTTATCTGACTCTAAAGTTGAAAAATAAATTGTTTTAAGAAATTTTAAATGAACTAATATTTGATTAGAGTCCTTTATCTGACAAATAATATGGGAGGCATTTTGACGTTTAAACTGATGAGCCAAGAGTAGACTTGATTTGTCACCATATTCACAATAGATGTTTTCATTATTAATTGTTCAGCAGAGTAGTGCATAAAAAATTAAACTTTGTATGTAAATCGACTGTAGGTATTTTAGAATCCTGTTTATCTAGGTCTAAGATGGTCTGTTAATTTGTGTTAAGTGTCTTTAATTTCTCACTTTTTTTATTAACAAAAGATGTGTATGATATTATTTGACCCCTTAAGTAAGCATTTAAAGTATCTCAGAGAAGTAAATAAGACACTGGGTCCATTTTATTTGACTATAAAAAATTATCTATATTACTTAGATCAAAATAACAGAATTTTTCATTCGATAACAATAATGGGTTAAGTGTCCAGAGTGGTCGTTTCCTGATATTGAAAAAAGAAATGCAGGTCTAGCACTACAGGTGCATGTTCTAATATAACTATGTGAAGTAATCAACTTTTTTAACCATTGAAATACATATTTTAATATTATTAATTTAAAATTTTTTATATTATTAATAAAAAGAACTGATTGGTCATAAGATTTAAAAATCTCCAAGGATCAACACAGTTATTCTGTTGCATGAAAAGATGCTTTTGACATGCCATAAACATAACTATTAGTGCTGGGCCTGTCTAGCTGAGGGTCATTAATGCAATTTAAACC